CATCAGGTTCTTCATGAAGCTCGTGTTCAGCTCCGTCCTGCAGGAGGAAGCTTGTTGATCCTAAAACAAGCAGCTGAACTCCTCCCAGGATCTGACAAGTTTTCACCTTCATGTTTCCATCAAGTCCTAAAGAAGCTGTTTACCTGTTTCAGCAGGTTCTGCAGCACAGCCGGGTCGTTCAGGTCCACAGAGGAGGCTTTCAGCAGCTTCAGCTTCACCACCTGCTTTAAAACAGGAACTGAGAGAAATAAAAACTTTCTTCAGTTTCAGGATTTCTTCCTGGAATTCAGACACGTTTAAACAAACTGGGTCCAGTTCAGTCAGGTTCAGGTTCTGGACCTTTGGTTCTTCTTTCTTTGACCCGTTCTGTTGTAGATCAGCTGCTGTTTGGATCAGGGTTCTGTTGGACACAGTTTGATCTAAACTTCAGCTGTCAGACAGATAGACTCACATCTAGATCCTCTGGTCTACAGAGGACTTCCTGGTCCACTCAGAACATCAGCCTCCAGCACTGAGCAGCTGCTGTTTTGCTGCAGTGCATTCTGGGTAAACCTCTGTCCTCTGCTCTGGTTCTGGTCCAGAAGTCTTGTGGTTCTTTGACCATCTTTAGGGGACTTCTTTGACTCTCAGTCCCAGGTTCTCCTAGGACTGATGTAAAGATGGTGACCAGCTCCATCTTCTGACTCCTTCATGTAGTCAGGCTGTAGAGGCAGCAGGTCCAGGAGAGAAACCCAGACCTGTTCCTCAGAGAACCTCTCCAGCTCCTCCTGGAGGACCCCCAAGTGTTCCAAGACCAGAAAAGATCTATAATCCCTCCAGAATGGTCTGGATTAATTTTTTTAGCTGGACATGTCCTCTAAAGGGAGGAGCCCAGGAGCTGAACCTCCTCAGCTGGTTCCTTTAGATCTAGGGGAACAGCAGGTCTACCCTGATCTCCTCACCTGGACTTTAAGGCTGAACCAAACCCACTATGAAGGAAGATCTGTTCAGCTGCTTGGATCCAGGCTCTGATTTTTTGTCATGAACCTGAAGAGACTTGATGGACCAGGATCATTGAGAGTTTGTTTTCAGATTTAACTGAATTAATCCTAAGTTTTTTGTACAACTATAAGTCCTTCTGAAAACTTTTCAGCCTGATGTTAAACCAAAGATTTGGTTCCTTCAGGAGCAAGAGAAGGAAACTGCCGGTAATGAGAGTATTGGGGGGGGACCTGATCCAGGCTACTGGGACAGGTTGATCAACTATCTGCAGCAGGGCATGGCTCTCAGATGTTTGTAGTTAGACTCTGGATGAATCCTTCTTGAAGACCAGCTTAAACTAATACCTCATCAACTGTTCAGGTAAGACTTATCTGAGTTTGGAGGAGTTCTGACCCCTAAAGACAGAGAGCTGGTGTTGGGGCATTCCTGATCTGGCTAGAGACAGATAAGGGGGGGATCTAACATCCTCTGTACAGCATTTAATCCAGAACTGGATCAACTTTGTCTACAAACAGAACATCATCAGACTGAAAATGAGTTGTAGCTTACCATCGTAGCAAATAAAAGCTCTTTTTAAATCACAGGCCCAGTCCTCCCATCTTCCAGAAACTTCAAAGTATGCTGCTGCACAGGACTCATTCTTCCAATTGTTGTTGGGTTCTACACTTCTCCAGAACATAAAGGAGGAGTTGCTTCCATCAGACCACTTCCAGGTGTCTCTGTAAAGACCGATCCAGGCTACTTGATCTGCTGGGACCAGGYTCATCACMWTCTGGTTCTCTGCCTGGTTCCTCACACTGACCAGGTCTGTGTGGTGGTCTCTGCAGAAGCTCTGAGCCTGGGTCCAGTTCATTAAGGTGTTTATGAAGACAAACCTCACGTCTGGACCTGGASAAAAAAACTACTTAAGTACTTTATAGAAGATCAAAGAAGTGTGTGATGAAGAGAACTGTAGAGAATGAGGGCAGTCCTGTGTGCAGACATGACCTGCTCTGCCTCAGTCTTATGCTGCATTTACATCAAACACATTTTGAGTGTCAGGAGCGTCTGGTTTACATGCAAAGTCAATGGTGGAGGCACATCTAGAGGCGTCTAGAAGCTGAACAGCGTGCCTGGTGCATTTTGAGCAGCCATGTTCGAAGCGTTTAGCACATTTTGAGCATTTTCTGTGGTTGTGGTCCGTTTAAAGCTTCCGACGCTCGAGTTGGAAAATCTGAACTTTTGCTGCTCATCGCGTCGCATTAACCAATCAGAGAGACTGTGCTCAGTGACATACTGGTGATGGGCCAGAAGTACCGGGAGCCCGGTGAGATGGAAATAATACTTTTAGGTTTAAGCTAGAAATTCATGAAATACTTTAATGACTAAAGATTTCATGACATGCTGTTTATTAGTAATAAGAATGATTAAAGTCAGAACAGGATCTGCTAACAACAATCATTAGATGTCACTTGTGTTTATCTTTGTGTTTTCCCTTGACCTAGCATTTCCGTCCGTCCGTTTTCTTCATCTTATCCAGGGTCAGGTCTCGGGGGCAGTGGTCTAAGCAGAGACCCAGACTTCCCTCTCTCCAGACACTTGGAC